CGACAATGAATGAGAGACATCTGCGCGTCTTCCCAATTTGGAACAACGACGTCGACGCTACTTGGCAAAATCACTCATTGAATCGCATACTGCGCGTCTTATGTTTTTAACACCGCTCAAAAAAAACGTAATTTTCCTCCCTTGTTGGTACTAGTATAATATTAGTGTCGTCATTCAGTGATAAATTTATTCACAGATATTCATACTACTAAGAAATCTAAAATAATGCTGCTATTCAAATAAATTGCTTTTTATTCTATTATTATAAAATAATGATCGTTGCAGTTGACGGACATCTAAGCGTCAATTGTTCTTTTAAATTTAGAGTATTGTTAATATAAATTGCATAATGTAATCAATAAGATAAGTACAGTGACTACAGTATTAGTATACAATTCATTAATTAATTAATACGGCAGTATTGATACGCCATTCATTAATTAAGTTCAAAGATGAAAGGTAAAATATAATAAAAAAAATGCTTTTCCACAGTTTGAAATATATTTCTATCTTTCACGTTTTTTTTTTTTTCTATTATTTATGTACTATAATTTGTGGTGAAAGTAAAATTCAAAAGACCTAATTTTTCAATATTCTACCTTAAAGCCTTATTATCATTTCAGTGTTATTTAGTGACAAATTGTACGGTCATATTACCAAAATCTAAAATAATGGTATTTTTTAAATAAATTGCTGTTTATTTCATTATCTTTCAATATAGAATAATGATTGTTACACTACAAATATCCAAGCGCCATTCGTAACTATTAAATTTTTTTAAATTTAGAGCACTATAAATTGTATAAATAAATATTAATATAAATTGTATAATTTAAATTAAGAGTACTAATAATACAATATTGTATACTATTAAAATAAATTAATGTACAAAATGTACAATCTAATATAAAAATACCTTGTTAGAAAATATTTGGCCATGTGCCAATATTTTTTGCAGCTCATTATATTTCCACAATAATTAATTAAAAATATATTTATATTTTCCACGATGTTTTCATTTCTACATGCTGCAAATTTGCTACGAAAGTGATGCAACTGAAGTAGCACAATTTTCGAAATATCGCTGCACTATGAGAACATTGCAGAAATACTACTTCGAGCAATTTTGTGAAAAAATGTTATTCATTTGTATGACCAGTAAAGAACAATTACGTCGCTTTTTTCTGACTCACGTGACATTGTCCCGTGTTTGATAAATCTTACTGTAAATTTTATCCTATCAGTGTAAATAACAAGTGTTGAAAAAAATGTATTATTTTGAACTTCGTCAGTGTTTTTTTTTTTTTTTTTTTTGGCTGACGAAACAGCACAGCCATTAAATAGAAGAGATCAGATTGTTTTAACGAGATTAAACTTCGCGCGTTTGTACTATATTACTAATAGTGAACCTCCAATGCGGTGTCTGCGGCATTAACGTTTCAGTTAACTCACGAAGGATCAACGTTGCATTTACGAAACGTTTTCACTCGCGATTGTTTTCAGTAAACTTGTATCATCAAACTCCATCTTTCAACAGTATAGTTACGGAACGACCCAATTGATATTTTCTACTCATTATATTACGTTTCATTATTGTATTCTAGATTCTATAATTTTAGAAAATTTTAAGATTATGATAAATTTATTACTTGAACTGACGTGAGACATTTATGCAAAAAATATTTGTATAAGATTTTTAACAGTCCTGACCTAGCTTTCGTTAACTTACGTTCAGTTACTTTTATAATTTCCAAATAAATAAATATAATTCTTTTCAAAATTCTTGCGCAACATTTCTCAAATAAAATACGACACTGATTGTACGCATGCATCAAAAAACGTATCAACGCGTGTGTATATAATACACCGGACGTGACAGAAAAGAACACCAGGCATCACTCATGGTGTACGGGAACGTGTTAGAAATGCTAATATCACACGTTGAAGCAGTCTTAAAATTAAACAAGAAAAGAAAGATTTTTCATAAATAAAGTTTGACTTAGATTGAAACCAAAAAGAAAAAAAAAGAGAAAGGTGAGAATCAGTCAAAGAAAAATCACGACGTTTTTTTGAAGAAAGAGATGAAGAAAGAAAAAGCGAGCTGCAACTTCTCAAGGATGAGATAAGACGTAAATCAGTCGAATTCTACGAGGTCATTCGCACCGTGGAGGCTGGTTTCCGGCTCGAAGCTGCTCGTTGACGGAACTCGCGAGACCAATGGCGGCCGGTAACCTGCAAATTGGCGGCGACCGCGCACAATTAGACACCTGCGAGGTCGCTCGGATGTCGCGTCTGTAATTCGTATCATTATCTCCGTCTTTGAAGAAGATTCGCAGATCCGACGGCGCGGAAGCGGTGAATTTCTAACGGCACGGCGTTCTGTCTCGTCCAATCGAAGCGCAGATAAGACAAAGCAAGGGTCGAGGGAGAATTAGCCGATTTCTCCGTTAACGCGGCGTCTCGACCCGGCGATTCGAAAGTCCGACCTTAACCTTCGACCCGGCCGTAACCCCAATCTGGCTCCCTCGAGATTAACGACGCGTTCCTTTGAACGTGGAATCCCCGCGACGATAAGCCCGATAATACAGGCCGACGGCAAAAAAGCTATTTAACTTTCACCGAGCGGGGGAGGATGGCTTTCACGGGTTATCGGTCGTTGACACGATGACAAACGACGGATTTCCCCCCCTCGCGATAAGGGCCCTCTCGAAACTAGGCGACTAGATTAAAAACAGAGCCGAGAGAGGAGAATGATCGTTGCGATCGAAGCTCTTCCCTAACGCCTTGTGTCCATTTGAGACTTTCTCGCGGGGGTTGAGAATGGGCTCTCAAGTCTTGTGTTCTTTTTAGAATTTTTATTCTCCGAAATACTCTCCGAGAGCTTACTATCCGACAGAACTCTCAAAACCGTGTCCATTTGAGAAGTTCATTGTCTCTGGTCCTACTCACTGGTGGTGTAGTTCAGTTCGAAACACGAGTGTGAACAGTGACATCATGCAGGTGCAAAAAATGTGTGTCCTCATAGTTGTCCATAATATTTTAAGAAAAAAGAAAAATCAGCATGAAAAGAGGAGTTTAATAATTTAAATTATTATATAATATTTATATATAATATAATAATAATTTAAATTAATAATTATTTAATTGTTATAAAATATTTAATTATATAATATTATATAGTAATTTAAATCAAAAGAAATTAGTTCAATAATTTCCCTTCTGACCACACGTTTTTATTATTCATAATTCTGCTCGCACGAGAGTACTCTCAGGATTTCGAAACCGCTCGCAACTCTCCGATAGCAGTGCAATATTGTGTCCATTTGCGAGCAGGTCGCGGCACAGTTGCGCGATGCTCTCGGACAGTAACTCTCAGAACAGTATCCACTATTTGCGAGAAATAAAATAAGAGCACCTCGCGACAGTTCTACTCTCCAGTTCTACACCTAGCTTTAAGGAATCATCTTCGAATGCTCGGTTCATCGAGCACGCACGTACACATACACAGAAGAGTCGGACACAACGAGAGAGAGAGGGCGTAGGACCTGGCCACGATCCTTATAAGCGGTAATCGAACGTGCAGCTACTGTGAGAGAAGACGGCGCAAGCGGAATAAAATTGCCTCGGCATGAGAAACATCCTCGAGATAGAAACACGCTGGGGGCAGAGCAACATTCTCCCTTCCGCCGGTGAACGGTGAAAGAAGGGAACAAACTGGAAAGCTACTGCCGGCCGAAGAGAAAGAAAGGAAAGAAGGGCGAGATAAATCTGTTTCCAGGCGAAGATCATCGAAATTCCGGCAGCGTAGAGGAGCACGGGGGCTGTAGAGGGTAGGGTAGAGGGTAGACGCGCGTAGGGTAGACGAAACCGAAAGCAGATGGGGATTGATTGGCTCGTGTCTCTCCAGCGGCGGTGTACAGACAGCTCCGTCGAATCCCGAACGAATGAGCACACAGAGGATCTTGTGCACGCGTGCACGCAATCACGCGCGCGGACTTGGTTGCGCTCGGCTCGAGCCAACTGCGTGCGTCTCCGTGACTATGGCGACCCGGGAGGAGCTGGTAAACACCGGCTGATATCGCTTGGCCGCGTCGCGTCATTGCGCCTCCCCCACCCTCCCCTCAGGTCACAACCCAATATACATAATTCGCGTGCGCACGCAATCCACGATACACCGAGTGTGCAACTCTCTCAGACACGCGCAAAAGTGCACACAACACGCGTACACACGCGGTCAACACGCGTTCCGCGAGATGGATATCGCAGGCCAGGCGAGCGAGCGTGCATTCGCTGATTTACATGCACTACTCACACACGAATCGTGAATCTGTGAAACGGTGAACACAGGCGCGTACGCGGCCAAGTGGAGGCGCATAGATCATAGAGACACATGTGCGGGGGAAAGCACGCACACGACGCTATATATCAAGCGTGTGCGAGGACACACGCGATAAACTGGCCGCGTGCGTACACGTACGTATTAAGAACACGAACGCAGTGCGGGTACTGCGAGCTTTATGAACATGGACAGAGGGCATAAGTGCGGCGAGTAGTACGAGTGCTGTATCGAGCAGCGGCCTATTGTTGCAGGCATTATTCGCGGCAAATCGGAATGACCGAGCGTACGAGGGGGGAAACGAAGAAGAGGGAAAGTCTTGCGGGTAGCGAATGCATTCGGCGAGTGAATGAGCGAACGAGGGAAGTTCGTCGAGGAGCGTGGCGGGTCAACCTGATTGCCGACCGGTCTGGTCACCACGCCCTGATCCACGAGATTTTCAAGATATCCGACACACGAACTGCGAGAGGGTCGCCAGGCGCGAGGTCAACCAACTCGATCCCTTGCCGTCATCAACGTCGTCGTCGTCGTCGTTGTGTTGTTCGTTTGCTCGTTCCGTTTCGCATAGCTTCGATAACGCGCCTTTCGAAACTTCCCTGCATGCTCGACGCGTGCTTAAATAGTCGAGCGTAAGAGTACGGAGATCGAAAATAGAAACTCTCACCCGTGTCGAGTGTGGTAGCGAATCGGTCGACGAACGGTGCTCGGATGACTCGCGTTGGTGATTCATCTGAAACAAAACCACGGGTGCTTGTTAGATTGATCTGTTGCCCGGGGGATTTCGAGGAACCGGGGCGGATAAAGTGGGTACCACTCGAGACAGAGCGCAGGAAACGTTGCAGGAAGTTATAATTCTAAATAAATTCGCATCTTTCACGTTGTTCTTATATGTATATATGTATGTGTAACACTGTTGTACTATATTGTTACCACTACTACTATTTATAATTAATGTGAATAATATAACATGCATAGCATGTATATAATAATTATAATTATTTACATGTATCATTATGTAACTTTAGTAATTATAATCATAATTGTACGAATGGTTACGTGAAACAAATCTCAATGATCAAATTTAGTAAATGTTCATATAAATGCATTTTATGCATTTATTGTATTATTTTTTCCATTCTAACGATTTTATTCATTGAAAATAAAGATACTCAGATTTTAGTCAATTTAATTAGTTAATCAAACTAAATGTTGTAATTAAATGAGAAAGTAAATATTAAATATAATATGAATTTAAATTTGCACGAAATTATATGATATTTAAATGAAATTATATTAGAATTTTTTTTTAATTATAATATTGTTATTAAATTAGTATCGTTATCGCAATTAAATAAATATCTTTCTTCCAAATAGCAAACATCCTTTCTCAATATAAAATATTTGTAAAGTACATGAAAATTTATTAGCTTCTTTGTTACAAAATTATATATGTATATTAATCACAAATAGTGTCATAGCATGGCTTCAAAATGATTTTTATACTTGGATAGAAATGTTGTTTGCAAATAAACAACATATCAAGAAATTGGTACATACATTGTAAATGTAAAGTAGATATAGCTTTGATATAAATGCATATATTACCATAAATTGTACGATTTTAATTTTGCTCAAATTTTACTTTCCTTATCAACTTATAAACGATACAGATATCTTTTTTTATATTTATGAAATGTAAATTAGAAAAAGCAACTATATACAACGAAAACAATAATAACAATAATAGTCCTTTTCAGACTTTATCTCATTATAAAATTTCATTACTTTGTAACTGATTTTTCGTCATTCGTTTTACAAAAATTTCTTCGTATAAAGCAAATAAAAAAATGTTTAAGAAATGAACATCGCATTAATCATTTTTACTTAAACAAGTTTTAAACTGCAATAATCAATCGGATATTCACTTCAATTATACGCTGGATGAGTAATTACTTCTCAGAAAAATTCCTCTGCAATTTCAGATCTTCTAGTCACGTGTGATCGTAAATTGCTGAGACAAAAGAAGATCTCTTTTCCATTAACTAGATCTGGCCATTCTGCTTACAATGCTGACTTCTATCGCCTCAATTTTTCTCGTACTAGACTGTGGTGATATTAATCATTACGGGTTCGATTCTAATTTGCATATCCTACTAAATATTTATCGGAGCTTCCTCGGATATAAATTTATTTTTGTTTAATTGATATAATTTTATCACTTTTAAAAATACCCGTCCGTATGCTACGATCTGTTAATTATAATGCATTATACGATCTATTAATTTTTCGACTTCGATATGTACCGAATAATTATATATCATTGAGCTATATTATAAATGAAGAATTGAGGTAAATACTCGTATATAATCAATCTATATTCTGCCAAATTAGGTCTTTTGAATTTATTGGGTCATTTTATATAATGCAATTATATAATCTACGTATATGTTTGTAAAACATCGAATAAATAAAGAATTATTATTCCATAGAAAGATTTTATATTTATAAGAGAAAAAGTTGCAAATTTCTCTATTAACCACTTGCTAACTGATTGCAGGCCATAACGAGTGACCAAACCATGTACAATAATTCGTCGCTTTCTTTTTTTGAACTGGTCGATATGATATCACTGGATAGAAATTATTAGAGAAGTAATAAATTTATTATTCGTTTTGCCTATTTTGTTTTACTTAAATATACTCAAAACTGAAGAAATATTACAATTTTGGAACAAAAAATTCTCGACGTGTACGTGGCACGTCATTCCAGCGCAAGAGGTTAATCTTCGCTCAACAACATAACTTTGCACTCTGATTCAACATAACATCGTGTGATATAATTATAAAATATTTTTGTCATCATATTATAGATAATTATTAGTTATAAAACCTAATTTCAGAGTAGATATAATGAAAACTTCGACGCGTTGATTAACAAACAATAAAACTCGAACTTTAACAAACTCGAACAAATTTCACTGTTTGAATTACTGTATACATTTAAGTATATTTGATGTATTGTATATATCGTATAATGTTTGAAGATGTATGTATACTGTATAAATATTTAAGGACGTGTCTTGTATCTGATGTCTTGAGTATTGAATGATATTTAGTGTTGGATGTTTGTTTTTCGAGTGTCAGAGAGTGTCTGTCTCACGTTCTATTCGAAATATCTGAGCTTTACTTGGTATTCTCAGAGTGCACGTTGATTAGTTGCTGTCAAGAACTTAATCTTCCAATCTATGGCAACGTGAACGTTGTGGCCACTTTTCTATGTGGCCTTGACATGCCTCTTTCTGGTGAGGAAGTGCCTCCTTCACTCACGTGGTCTGTTCGCTTTTTCGAAAAGATCGCTTCCAGGTCAGAACTATCCGCACCTGGTGCCATTATATGTAACGTACAGTTTCTCAGAAAAATACTTGAGTATTTCTACACATGTTTTACGTAAAACACTTTGAAACAAATCTAAAAATATGTATAGAAGTTACAAACAAACGCACATATTTCAGGCATTACAAAACCTATTTAAACTACTAAAGGACGACCATTCTCGTTGTACGATAATTTTTGACCGATATCTGCAATAAATATCTTGTTACCTCTATGTATATTTTTCGATTGATTACAAATTTTGCCAACGCAATTATGACAAACAAAATTGACGAAATTTCAAAATGTTTTATAGAATATACACAGCATATAATATAATATATACGTGTGCATACAAAAGTTTGGTTTTAGCAAATATTCTAACGTGTTCAATACGAAAGTTCATTAGTCTTTTAATAATTTAAAATTCTAACTCAGAAACAGCCATCCTTTTCAATCGTGTAGTTTCATTACCCGTGTGCCTTTTTTCTTATTTCGGATGGGATGCGAAAATTAAAAAGCAATACTAAATTAAAAACAACATACAACGGTAATTATTTCGTCTGGGCACAAATTGCCAATTTAGTCTTCAAGCGATGCATATGAAGTCCATTGTGATAATTATTGTTTTCGTGGAAATAGTAGTTACAAAATCGTCGTTACTATTCACTGCCATTTGTACACCCGACCTGTACAATTAATTAGTCCGCTGTTAAACTCGCGTTTCAGTTAATGAAAAATCTGTCAGTTACGCTTGCACGAACGTTATAAATATGCGTCGCTAATTATATACAATAATACCTTTAACTGGTAATATTTTCACCGTCGGATTACGCGATATTACGCTCTGTATGCAATATTCTAATTCTGTTTGTGTAGAGTGATTCAAAAAAATTGGTTAAAGATTTTGTCATGTCCATTAGTTTAATAGATATTTCAATTTTAATATCAGCCTTTAATGCACGCCATTCTGAAACGAGGAGTTTTTTTTTTACAAAATGGTAAAGATTAACGAGTGGAATGGGTCAGTGAAAGTAACGAATTTACTTTAATATTTAATTTCGTAATTATAAATTAAAATCAGGTACCTTATATACAATATAATACGAATTCATAGATAATATATTAACTCTTAATTAGTATCCTTGGATATTGGATACCATAAAAATTTAGGATTTACAATTTTTCCAATTATTTTATATTGTCGATACTGTTTTTTAATATCATAATTACGAAATGGAATTCCAAGAATTCGTTAATCTTTCCTCTTGTCTGGCCAAAGTCCACGATTGTATAAAATTTAAGATACTCCTAACGTCATAACACACCATTTAAATCAATTAAATCATTTATTTTCGGAATCTTTAATGTAACTAAATTTCAGTCACGAAATAAAACGAAATGTTCTAAATTCTTCCAATTTAACATAAATTAATACACACATAGTTGTGTGTTATAACTTAACGATACAGTCCGAGGTTGGACGTAATTTAGAAAACAATAAACTAACTTATATTTGAATAAAACATTTTGAGACGCGTGTTTACATTCCTTCCTTGTTTAGACCAAATAATTTTCTAACCTCCATCCTGCAATTTAGCTGAAACACACACTACGAAACAAAACAGAGGAGTTTTTACGAAACGCGCGAAGTTTTTATCATTTATTTCTTACGAAGCTCTGGTTCTCCTGTAAAAAAAAAAAAAGTCACTAACAAATCCCGCTCGTTACGCGAAGGCACAGAAATATTCATTTGAACTCGCGTCTCTTATCATGCCCCGGCCCAACGAAGAGACGACGAGGATCATCGTAAAACATGGAATGGCACACGATCACTCTCACGCGTGAAAACAAATTTGCGCAAGGTGGATCGCTCGCGAGAAGTTCGCCGCGGGAGCGAAAGGTCAGGCTCGACGCAGAGATTGCATCGTTAACGATTTAAGATTACCGCTGCGGGAAAGTTAAGCAAACGGTGGACTACTTTGTCGAGCTGAATGCGAAATCACCGCGATGCATAAAACATCGTTGACAATTATTCTTATTACATGCTATCTCTCCGGCGATATTGTCGTCTTCTTGCTCGTTGAATTTCCGCCCAAAGAAACCGCCCGGCCGGTTCTTCCTCCCCCTCCCCCGCCCCTTTCCTTTCCTTTCCACTCCTGGCATCGCTCGCGTTTCCAACGGATCCTCTAATCGCCGGAAGTCATCCACCGTCGCGGAGTCTAGAATAATTTGCTGGAAACTCGCGAAACTACGGGTGGAGGAAATGAGGAGGAGATAGAGAAGAGAGGGTGGGGGAAAAAAATGCGCTAAAACTTCAGCTCGGTAGCCTCGTTTATTTATTGTTTCAAACTGCGAG